GAAGGATAAGGCTTTGTCAGGCGCAGGAAAAGAGGTTCTCATTAAGGTTGCGGTGCAAGTCATTCCTAGCTACATAATGAGCTATTATAGGCTACCAAAAAATGTGTTTGCTGAGATTGAAAGGATGGTAGTGAAGTTTTGGTGGGGGGCAAAGGAAGGAGAGAGGAAAATTCATTGGTTCAGCTGTGATCATTTCTCAAAGGCAAAGTGTAATGGAGGAATGGGCTTTAGAAGTTTCTCTTACTTCAACAAAGCTCTAATTGGAAAACAGTGTTGAAGGTTGATGAATGGAAGAAAATCTCTGTTGGGTAGGGTCTTCAAGGCTAGATACTACCCTCGATCAAATTTCTGTGATGCTAAAGTGGGTCACTCTCCTAGCTATGTATGGAGGAGTATTGTGAGCGCCAAGGTTTTGGTGGAAAGTAGAAGCAGGTGGAAAATAGGCAACGAGAAAAGTGTTAAAATTTGGAAGGATAACTGGATGCCCCTGTGTCTTGGTGGGGAAGTGACTAGCCAAAACACTTCTATCAATGATGACGACACGATTGATACCCTCATTGGTCAGGACCTCAAGTGTTGGAATAAGGAGCTAGTTCTTTTAAGTTTCAACTATTTCGACGCCTAGAAGATCCTCAGCATTCCTATTTCTTATAGGCTTCCTAATGATAAACTGATATGGAGTGGTGAAATGAATGGTTGTTTCTCAGGTCTACCTACAACCGCATTGGCTTGGAGAGAGAGAGAGTTTGAAGGTCGGTCCTTTGGGGTATAGTGGTTGTGTTTTGTGGAAGGAGATATGAAGGATACATTTGCCTAATGCTGCTAAGTCTTTTCTATGGAGACTTGTCAAAGGGATTCTTTCCCTTAGAGCTAATTTGCTCAAGAGGGGCATGAATATTGATGCCTTGTACCCTCACTGCTACAATGGTATGGAGTTTGAGGATAATCTATTTCTGTTCTGTCACACGACCAAGCTTGCTTGGCTTGGTTCCCCCTTGGGGCTTCATATACATGATGACAGTGATATAAGGAATTGGCTCATAAACTATTTTACGTGTAGGGACCCAATGAAGGCTCAAATCATGTGCACTACTTTGTGGAGACTATGACGGGGGAGAAATTGTTTTTTGCTTCAGGACACAACTTTTCAACCCTTGGAGATAGCAAACGAGGATGCGACTTTTGTGGAGGATTACAATTCTTCTAATGCTAGCAAGGAACAATGGGTTTTTGCCCTAGTGTCAGTGATAATTCCCCTCGATCCTCTGGAAAATTTGGTTCTCAATGTTGGCGCTGGTTGTTTTAACAACTAGACCACCATTTGGGGTTGTTGTGTCAAGAATCATGCAGGGAGGAATATTTTGTCAGCGTGCAAGAAAAGGGAGATTTCGATGGAGACAACTTTAGCTGAAGCCATGAGATTTCTCTGGATGCTGGAGCTTGCCAAAAGCCAAAACTAGCAAAACATCACCATTCAAACTGATGCACAAGTGATGGGTGGCTGTATCAATGGAAAGATGATGATGGGTAACTTAATCCATGTTGTAGGGGACTGCATTTCTCTTGTAATTGATTTTAATTATGCTGCTGTTAGTTTTATTAGTAGGGCGCACAATATTGAAATGCACAGTCTAGTTAGCCTAACTATGAGTGTGGGTTCTAAAACTTGGCTTGAAGATTCTCTCTCCGGGAATGCTCCAACCTCTTGTAATATTTTTGTTTTAAGCTAATGGAAATTTCTTTCCCTTAAAAAAATGAGGAATGTTGAGGTAACTAACCAATGATAGGTTTAAATTAACAAGTTTTTAAATTCCCTATAAAAATTGGGATTCCAAAATAGATGAAAGGTAAATTACCAATAACAAATTTTAGGAAGTTGACAATTTGATTTAGTCTATAAAGAAAAATGGATAAAAAGTAAAATTTTGAAGATTTATTCTAATTTTTTTCTCATACTAAACTACTAGGTAATCATCTTTTTCTTTTATTATTTTATTTCTATTCATCAATTAAATAAAATATAAATAAAATAAAAAATAAATTAGTTCCTAAAAGAAATTGATTATAATTTATTAATCTTAAGAATCAAAAGTTATTTTTACTTTGGCTTAATGTCTCATTTGGTCCCTTAATTTAATTTCAGATTTAGTTCAGTCCCTTATATAATAAATGTTACTTTCAGGTCCATTATTTGCAATTCCGTTAGCCAACATCGTCCTTTATGTTAAAAAATATGTATCTCCGTTAGTTTTTGCTAGTGTGGTAGTCCAACTTGGCATTCTTAAGTGACGTGGATTTATGATTTACCATTTTGAATGAAATTTAATTTCCTTCTAAATGTTTCATCTAAACCCATCATATTTCATTTTCATTTCATTTCTTCATCTGAGCTCTTTGAGAAAACCTTGACATCATTTCTCTATCTTCATCATCGTTCACGAAACAATCATCCAACTCCATCTTCGTTCGCAAAGGTATCACAATATTTCTACATTGTTAACATAGTTCATTTCATCCATTTTTGTTCATTCTCCCTTTTGATACTTCAGTTATCTTCTTTGTTAGGGTTTTTGGAATCGTCGTTACTGAGAGGAAAATGAAAATCTTCCATCATTTGTGTTAAGGTATGAATAATGCAAATTGTTTATAGTTTTATAACCCTTAACTGTATTTCTCACTTAGAGTTTTTCATATTCCATTTATAGGTAATGGATAATCGCTTTGTGTGTATTGTTCATCACGTGGGTGGGTTTGTTGAGTTTAGGAAATTGGTTATAAATGGTTAGAGGAAATTTGGGATATGGAACCTGATTTTTGGAGTTACTTCGAAGTATTGGATGAGTTAAAGGATTTAGGATATCCAAATATAGTGAGTCTTTGGTATTATAACAAATTAGAGGTTAATAGCATAGTTCAGTTGAAAGATGACAATGAAACTAGGAGGCTGAAGTTTCTGAAGATGAGGGGGGGGGGGGGGGGGGGGGGTTGAAAAACAGATGACTGAAAAAGGGAAAAAAGGAAAGGGAGAGATGGAAGGGTAATGGAAAAGAAAAAGGAAAAGGTAAAGGTAAGAGGAAGAGGAAGGGAAAAGGTAAAGGGAAAGGTAAAAAAAAGTTGGAAGACCTTGCAAGAAGAAAGTTAATGACTGTGAAGCTTCCGGTGAAAGAAGTCTTTTGGATGATTGTGATGCAGATGAAGAAGAAACACTATTAAATTTGAAGGGACCTGAAGCAAGTCAGCCTGAGGCAACTACAACTTGATTCATTTTCACGTTTTTATGTTTATGTAACTAAGTGTCAATGGACACATAATTATGCTTTTATGCCCTTTTGTACCTTAGTGTTAATGAACACATTATTCCCTATTGTACCTTAGTGTCAAAGAACACATGCTTTTATAATGAAAAGTCTTTTGTTAAATCAATATTGCTCAAATACTTATTTACACGATTCTACATAAAATTGCAACATTAGGTTTATCTGCAACATAAAACTGCAACATTACAAACCCTTTTTTATTCCATTGTTTCAATTAAGTCCCTTATATAATAATATTGTTTCACTTTAATCATCCTTCTGCAACATACCAAACCACTAAATAACACATAACAAAGAAAATGGTAAGACACTGATATAACAATCCAATCATTTCATTTAAGCAACATCAATCTTACATGCTTTCACAACATCGACCACAAATTTATCTCAAATACATAGTTACAAAGACTAAATTAAACCCTAGACTAATAATGACAAACACTATTGCATTTTTCAACAGTCCTCTAATGCTCAAAACCTCATTCTTCAACTTTAATATTTTCTTCCATTGCCTTTCAATCTTCAAGTTCCTTCCATCAACAACTTCATCACTTACCACTTGAAAAAATTGCATCCCTTCTCCAACTGATTCCTGTAATTCCTATAGCCTCAAAACTTTTTCCCAATATTGACACTGTTGAGATCTGTAACAGTACGCATGTCACACTCTTCTTGACACCAACAATCCGTCTTTTTGTTTCGTATCACCACAGGGCCAAATGACCTACAACTTTAGATATTTGATTTTGAGTAGTTACTGGAGTTCATTGACATCTTCGCAAAATCTTCGTAAGTCCTTGGAATCGTGAGCGTGAAGAAGAATTGAATGAGCAAGAAGATGATGAACATTTATCGTGAAAATGGAGATTGAACATTTAACAATGATACAACGTTAATATAATGCAATATACTGAGTCACAAATGCATACTAATCTTAGCTGTCATGCCACATCACCCAACTTAACATTTTCACAGCCTAATTGACATACTGAACCAACTTAGATAACATAATTTTTATTAAAAAAATTGAATTATAACATTTATTACATAAGAAACCAAAATGAAAACTCAAATTAAATTATAGAACTTCAGGACTAATTAAACCTTTTACTTTTATAAAAAATTAAACCAAATCTTACAAATAAAAAATTAAAACAATATTTTATTTCTTCATTCTTTTATTACCTTTCATTTTCACGATACACTTTCCCTCATCTTTTCTACATTCAAGATAAATTATACTAACATAACACTCGAAAACCTATTAGAATAAAATAAAACATTCAACCACACTAATGATAAAGATGTGGATAAAGAATCATCCACTAATTCATCCCAAACACACGCACATAAACAATAATTTATTCCCATTGGTAGAAATAAATACCTAACAAAAACAATATTTAAAAAAAAAAGAAACAATATACTTATTTCGCTTCCACGAAATATTCTAAAAAGGAAAGAATATTAAAAAAAACAAAAAACCAGCGAAGCGTAAACCATGGTTAGAAAAACAAACCATGGTAAAAATTATTGTTAATTTAATTCGGAAAGAAAAGCATCAAAATTTTATCCTATATCCAATCCAATCCTATCCAATAAATAAATAATAATAAATAAAGTTAATAATTAATTGAATTTAAAACTATATCCATTCCATCGAGTGCCTTATTCTTCATTGACCCTAAAATTTATATTTATATATATTATAATAAAACCAAAAATCTTGCAGTTGCCGTTCTCATTTTGTTCTTTCATTCTCCAAAACTCAAATCTCTCTCTCTCTAAAACTTTCTCTCTCATCACTATCACCGGAATCTCGCTGTTTCCGTCGCCGCCGGTAAGTTCAATATCACAGCTATTAACACCAGAGTTCTCACTACTGGACTTTTTGTGTTTTTTTTTTGATTCTGATCCGTTCTTAGAATTGAAGTATTTGGCGTTATTTTTTTCGCTCTTTTTGTTAATTTTGCTGTTTTTTTGTTTTGTTTTTGTAACTGTATGCTATCGATCGTTTCGTTTTGTGTAGAATTTTTGTGGATACTAGTTGTGTCGTGTGAGTTTGGTTTTCAGAAAATTGTTAAACGGCATCGTTTTTTACTTAGAGTTTTGTAGTTTTGTAATGCGAGTTATAGGTTTAATTTGTTTATGTATGAGTTTTTGGAGTTTTGATAAGTTTGATTTGTTTTTGTATATTTTCTTCTTATCGTGTTGGGATCTAACCGTTTCAAGCCTTTTTAAATGCTTTTTGTACTGTTTTTGGTAATTGGTTATACTTTGTGAATTTTTTGGTTGGGAAATGATAGGTCAAGATGATGATTCAAAGTGGAAAGAGTTTTATTTGGTTTTGGTTTAGATAAGTTTTTGTTGGGGTTGATTGGGGGTTAAGCTCTTTTACAACAAGAAAGTGGTAGGGTATGATTGATCAATATACAATGGATTGGAATTTTTGGACCATTGTAATTTTTTTTCTTGGGTGTGGTGATTATCTTATTTGTTTATGTTGAATAAAGGGTTTCTTTTTTTCGTGATTTTATATTTTGTATTATAAACTTGGAAAGTGATGGGAATTATACTCCTTTGCTATTTGACAGCGGTAATGTGTGGGGAGTAGAATCTGTTTGTAATTTTTAGTTTGGGAGACTTGAAAGAAATGAATATATGATAATTGCTTGTACATCAATTTTGTCTAGTCGTCAGCAATGATAATGAGCACAGTTAATGTTATCATTACTTATTTGTATCATGTGTTTTTCATCTATTTTCACCTCCTGGTGCTATTTGTTTTAGCATCCCTTCATCCGAACTGCTTTGATTACTAAATTTGCACTAATAGCATTTGGCCAAGTAGTTTGGTTAACCAATAATATGAGAACCAAGCCAGTGAATATGCCTGAAATGAATTATTATGAGATTTATATCATCAAATATATGTGTGCATGTTTTACATCACACCATGTGAGATGCAGTATCTGTCAAATCTTTACATGGAGTCCCTTGATATATATTATTCATAGGATGCTTGTTGTAGATGTTGTGTTTATTTTTTTTTTATTTTTATGATTTGATAGGAAGAAGATATCGAAGAAAGGTGACAAGTAATGGCATCAAGATCCTATGCTAATCTCTTAGACTTAGCTGGTGGAGGAGACTTGCTTGATATTCCTCACACCCCAAGAACTCTTCCAAGGGTTATGACTGTTCCTGGAATTATTTCTGACCTGGATGGTGAATCAGACGTTAGTTCTTCTGGATGTCGGGAGCGGAAAATCATTGTGGCAAACATGTTGCCTCTGCAGGCTAAAAGAGATATTGATACCGCTAAATGGTGTTTCAGTTGGGATGAAGATTCAATTCTATTACAACTTAAAGATGGTTTTTCTTCTGATACTGAGGTAATCTATGTGGGTTCTCTCAAAGCAGAGATAGATGCTAGTGAGCAGGATGAAGTTGCTCAGAAATTACTGGATGACTTTAATTGTGTGCCTACCTTTCTACCACATGATCTGCAGAAAAAGTTTTATCTTGGTTTTTGTAAGCAGCAGCTCTGGCCACTGTTCCATTATATGCTACCCATATGCTCAGATCACGGTGATCGCTTTGACCGTGTGCTTTGGCAGGCTTATGTTTCTGCTAACAAAATATTTGCAGACAAAGTCATGGAAGTGATTAATCCTGATGATGATTTTGTTTGGGTTCATGATTACCATTTGATGGTTTTGCCTACTTTCTTGAGGAAACGATTTAATCGAGTTAAACTTGGGTTCTTTCTTCACAGTCCTTTCCCATCTTCCGAAATTTACCGAACTTTGCCTGTAAGAGATGAAATTCTGAAGGGATTGTTGAATTCGGATTTAATTGGTTTTCATACATTTGATTATGCTCGCCACTTTCTTTCATGCTGCAGTAGAATGCTAGGTCTGGATTATGAATCTAAGCGAGGGCATATAGGACTTGATTACTTTGGCCGCACTATATTTATCAAAATTTTACCCGTTGGTATTCACATGGGTAGGCTTGATTCTGTATTAAATCTTCCTTCTACGTCCTCTAAGCTAAAAGAGATTCAGGAGGAGTTTAAAGATAGGAAAGTTATTCTTGGTGTTGACGACATGGATATTTTTAAGGGTATCAATCTGAAATTTCTAGCAGTGGAACAGCTGCTTCAGCAGAATCCAGATTTGAAGGGAAAAGTGGTCCTTGTTCAAATTGTAAATCCTGCAAGGGGTTCAGGGAAGGATGTTCAGGAAGCAAAGAATGAAGCATATCTAATTGCCCAGAGAATCAATGCTACTTATGGTTCTAGTCATTATCGACCAGTCATTATCATCGATCGCCCTGTTCCTCGCTTTGAGAAGAGTGCCTATTATGCTGTAGCCGAGTGCTGCATTGTCAATGCTGTGAGAGATGGGATGAACTTAGTCCCGTACAAATATGTTGTCTGCAGACAGGGAACTGCAAAGCTGGATGAAGCACTGGGTAGACAGAGTGATTCTCCTCGTACAAGCATGCTTGTTGTGTCTGAGTTCATTGGCTGTTCACCTTCTCTGAGTGGGGCTATCAGGGTCAATCCCTGGGATATTGATGCAGTTGCGGATGCTCTGAATTTGGCTCTCACTATGAGAGATTCAGAGAAAAAGTTGCGCCATGAGAAACACTATCGTTATGTTAGTTCTCATGATGTGGCCTATTGGGCACGCAGTTTTATGCAGGATTTGGAGAGAGCCTGCAAAGATCATTACACTAAAAGGTGCTGGGGAATTGGTTTAGGCTTGGGATTCAGAGTTATTTCTCTTTCTCATGGTTTTAGGAAGCTATCCGTTGACCATATTGTATCAGCTTACAAAAGAACCAATAGAAGGGCCATCTTTCTTGATTATGATGGCACTATTGTACCACAAACTTCCATTAATAAAACCCCCAGCCCTGAAGTCATATCTGTGCTTAACGCTCTGTGTAATGATACCAAGAATATTGTGTTCATTGTTAGTGGAAGGGCAAGAGATTCTCTGAGTGACTGGTTTGCTTCATGCAAAATGCTGGGACTTGCAGCTGAACACGGGTACTTTCTAAGGTAAGTATTGTCGCAGTTGTTTCTTCCTCTGGCCTTAAAGATAATAGAAAAATTATAGTGCTAAAGTATTTTACATCATCAGGTGGAATAGCGACTCCGAATGGGAAACCAGTCACTTGTCTGCAGACCTTGATTGGAAACAGATAGTGGAGCCTGTCATGCAGTCATATACAGAAGCAACTGATGGATCTAATATTGAAATTAAAGAAAGTGCTTTGGTGTGGCATCATCAAGATGCAGACCCTGATTTTGGTTCCTGCCAAGCCAAAGAATTGTTGGATCATTTGGAAAGTGTTCTTGCTAATGAACCGGCACTTGTTAAGAGAGGCCAGCATATTGTTGAAGTTAAGCCACAGGTAGAGTTTTTCAAATTCATTTCCTCTCATCTTCCTCTAGTATTTTTTATTTATTTATATTAATTGAAGCTCAAAAGCTTGAATTGTTTCGATCAATGTTGTGGATTTACCTCTCTCTGCAGGGAGTGACCAAAGGGTTGGTAGCTGAGAAAGTTCTTTTGAATATGGTTAATGGTGGTAATCCACCAGATTTCGTGATGTGCATCGGAGATGATAGGTCTGATGAAGACATGTTTGAAAGCATTTTGAGTACAGTCTCGTGCCCATCTTTACCATCCGCGCCGGAGATTTTTGCCTGCACTGTAGGAAGGAAGCCGAGCAAGGCCAAGTATTTTCTCGATGATACTGCCGATGTTGTCAGGTTGCTTCAAGGCCTTGCAGCCTCATCAAATCCAAAGCCCAAGCATCATCATGCCCAATTCCAGGTTTCTTTCGAGAGCATAGTTTCTTAGGAAGGGCAAAACTGCTTTATTGGTTCATTATATGCGTGGATTCTGGTCCTGTGAATCAGAAATTTTTGGGTATTATTAATCATTAACCTGACGACGACAAATAGTGCAACATGGCCATTGTGGATCAGATTCTTTTTGTGCTCCTGAACCGGTTTACATGGCATCGGGAAGGTTGCGGTGTGGTTCATGGATTATCTGACAGTTATTCTCTTGTACATGGGTAACATCAATTGTTATATTTTACTGGTGCCGCATTGAGCTTTAGTTGTGCTTTAATTTTTTTGTATCAGTTCCATTGCTTGTACCGAGAGAGAGGAGCATCAAAACTTCAAACATGTATAGTTACACTATTTTGTTACAATACATAATTCTAGGGTGTTCGCTGTTCAATTTTATGACAAAAATTCATTCAATCTAAATATAAATCTACTTGTGGTTCAGTTTTAGATAATACGTTAAAAAAATCTTATCCGATTCAATCTAATTTAATGCGATTTAATTTGGATTGGTTTTTAGATATCTAAACTATAAATTATATTTTATTAATATTATAAAATACTAATAAATTATAAATTTGATATAATATATATAAATTAAAAGTTAATATTATTAATATTAAAAGTTATAAATTTTTGGGTATTATTAATATTAAAAGTTAATATTATAAAAAGAGAATGACCGATTATAATTGAAATAATAAAAATAAATAAATTAAATCAAACTAATAATTATAAAGAATAATCTATTATGATTGAAATAATAAAAATAAATAGATTAAATCAAATTAATAAATAATATTAAAAAAAAAATTTATCATCTAATATTATATTAATAAAAAATAAAAATTAAATATGTCAAGGTTTTTATAAATATGTGACATTTTTTAATCTTTCTACAACTTAGTTAGTTATAATTTAGTTGTGAATTAGTGTCAGTTTTTTACTTAGCGATCAAATTAATAATTAAATTCTAGTTAAATTGTAGTTAAATTTTAATTAAATTATAAGAGGATTAAAAAATGATGACATAAAATTTTAAGAGGATCATTATTTAGAGAAAAATTAGAAGGATTAAAATTATAGGGTCGTATATTTATATAGACTAAAAACATATTTAACTCAAAAAATAAATATGTATTAAAATATATACATGTGGTTCGATTCTCTTTGAATCAGTTTTGAAAAATTAATCTGAAATTCAATCTGAATCGTGCGGTTTTTACAAAATGACATTCAAACACATTAATAATCTTTAATTTTTTACGGTTTTTAATTTTTTTAAATTAATTTACCGTTTTAATTTGAATTGATTTGAATTTGAATAGAATTACATTATTCTTTTCTGGTTTGAAATCTCTTCAACTTGTGCTTGTCTTTGATGAGAAATTAAGTATTGGGGAAGTTGCGCTATAGCTATCGTAGTAATTTCCAAATTGTAAATCCTGCTGCATACTATGGACAAAATTACTTGTTTAAAAACTTCTCCACAATTTTAAATAACATTACTATTCAACAATTATTTCTTGAAAACACAAGGTCTCTCTCTTTGTATTAAAGGGGGTAATTTAGTATTTGCTATATTTAAAATATTTTCTTTTAAGGTCCATGTGACATTCTTATCTTTATTATCTTTGTGTATAAATAGGTGTACTAAGTTTCATTAATTAATTCAATTCCTTTTCAATCATTTGTAGCAGGTTTTAATCATTCATCATTTTCTCCTTTCTTCCTCAATTTCATCACCATGCACCAACAAAATTGGTATCTAGAGCTCTTGGTTCTTCTGAAATTCTGGGAAACACGAGTGAAAGTGAACTGTGTTTGATTTTGGTTCTTGATTTCTGTTGAATCTTGAACAAAATCTGAACAGAATCATATTGATTCTGTGGGTTTAGGAAACACTGAGTGAGATATGAGATCTGAGATTTGTGCAAAATTTAAGATGAGTGGAGACAGTAGGTTGAACACTAAATTTTCAGTTTTTGATGGCAAAAGCTTGAACATATGGATTATACAGATGCATGTGCTGTTTGGTGCTCAGGATGTTCTGGATCTTGTTACCAATGGTTATGTTCCAGTTGCAGCAGATGTTACTGAAGAACAAAGATCTCCAGAAAGAGCTACGAGGAAAAGGGATCAACAAGCTCTGTTCTATATCCATTAGTGTGTGGATGAAAGTGTGTTCGAGAAGATTGTTGATTCGATGACGTTGAAAGAGGCATGGGATATACTGGTCAGATGTTACGGTGGTGACGTGTCAGTGAAAAAGGTGAAGCTTCAGTCCCTGCGAAAGCAATATGAGAATCTCAACATGAAGAACGGTGAGAAAGTTTCTGAGTACATCTCCAGAATGATTCTGATTACTATTGAGGTGAAAGTTTGTGGAGAAATACTTTCTGAACAGGTAATCATAGAGAAGATTCTGAGGTCGCTTACTCTTCAGTTTGATTACATTGTTGTTTCTATTGAATATTCTAAAAATCTGAAAATCATGAGAATAGAAGAGTTGCAAAGCAGTTAGAAGCGCAGGAGTTGCGTCTGACTGAAAGAACTTCTGAGAGGGAAGTTAGGCAAGCTCTGAAGGCTTCTTTTGTCAAGAAGGACCAGAAGCAGAATAGACGTGGTGATAAATTCCAGAAGTCAGAAATCTCAACTTCTGATGAAAAGAAATATCAGAAGGGAAAGGAAAGGTATGACAAGAAGAAGGTTCAATGTTACTGTTGTAAACAGTTTGACCATTTTGCCAGAGATTGTAGAAACAGAGGAAGGAAATCAGAAGAAGAAAATATAGCCAGAGGAGATTCTGATGATGAATCTGTGCTACTGATGACTTTTGATTCTGATGGAAAGTGCTCAAAAGATTGGTGGTATATGGACACTGGCTATTCAAACCACTTGATTGGGAACAAACAATAGTTGATAGACTTTGACTCCCGAAGGATAACAAAGATCAGATGTGCTGATGATAAGTATCTTAATGCAGAAGGTATGAGAAATGTCAGAGTCAGAGTGAAGAATGAAAAAAACATTCTGATCAAAGATGTTTGGTATGTTCCTGGAATTAAAAGCAATCTGATGAGTGTGGGTCAGCTCATTGAGAAAGGTTTCTCAGTTGTTATGAAGGAAAACCTCTTGACGTTATATGATTTCAATCTGAAGTTGATTATAAATTCTGAGCAAGGAAGCAACAGAATATTCAAGGTGAATGTAGAAACACCTGTAGTAGAGTGTCTTAGTGCAGAAGGTGTTGAAGGTGACAGTAAGTTATGGCACAAGAGGTTGGGGCACTTAAATTATAGAAGCTTAGGACATCTAAGTTATAAGAAGCTTGTATATGGCATTTCAAAGATTGTGAATCCTGAGAAGTCATGTGAGATATGCATGAAAGAAAAGCAACCCAAATTGCCATTTACATCAGAAGTAGCCCCCAGAGCGAAGCATGCTTTGGGAGTAGTATATTATGATGTGTGTGAACCATTTCTAGTATCTTCACTTGGAGGAAACAAATATTTTGTGTCTTTTGTGGATGAGTTCACAAGAATGACATGGGTAACACTCATTAAGTTCAAGCATTAAGTGTTTACCGAGTTTCAGAAGTTCAAGGTGAAGGATGAGAAGTAGAGTGGTCAGAAGTTGAAGATTCTGAGAACGGATGGTGGAGGTGAGTATAACTCTACAGAGTTCCAGAAGTTCTGTGAGGAGAATGGAATAGAACATGAGGTTACTGCTCCATATACTCCTCATCACAATGGTCTTGCTGAAAGAAGAAATAGAACTTTGCTTGATATGATCAGAAATATGCTGAAAGAGAAGAAGCTACCTCACATGTTATGGGGAGAAGCTGTCGCCACATCAACATATGTTCTGAATAGGTGTCCAACAAAGAAGCTGAAGGAAATTGTTCCTTTAGAAAAGTAGACTGGAGATAAGCAAAGTGTTAGCCATCTGAGGGTGTTTGGTTCTGTATGTTACAAACACGTTCCAGAAGCTAGAAGACGGAAACTGAATGATAGAAGCAAAGTAATGTTACCGGTGGGATACCACAGTACAGGTGCCTATAAGCTTTATTTCCAGAAACCAACAAAGTTAAAATTAGTAGAGACGTTATTGTGAAAGATTCAGAAACATGGAATTGGAACAAGCCTCAATCAGATTCTGGTGTAGCGCCAACACCAGAGTTAGTTTATGAATATTCTTCAGAAAGTTCTGAAGACGAGTAAGAGTCAGAATATGAATATGATTTTGAAGACTCTGAAGATGAGTCAGAATCTCAGAGAGATTCTGATAGTGAATCTGATTCTGATCTAGATTCTGATGATGATCCATAATCTGGTGGTGATTATATTTCTGGAAGGAAAAACTCTTAAAGACATAGGGTCTGGAGGACAGGCTTCCAGAAGTAACTCTGAAGGTGGTAATTCTGAAGGACGTAGTTCTGGACAAGGTCCATAAGCTAGCACTGTTCCAAGTTCTGGAGAAGCTTCAGAACAATTTCAGAGGCCACAAAGAATCAAAAAAATACCAAGTAGGTTTGCAGATTTTAGCATATTGCATGATACTGAAGTAGATTCTGAAGAAGAAGTCATTCAGTGTGACATGTTAGTAGATTCTGAACCAGTAGGTATTGAAGAAGCTCTCAAGAAGAAAGTATGGTTGAATTCCATGAATAAAGAACTTGAGGCTATTGAAAAAAAAACTTGGAAGTTGATAAAGCTTCCAGAAAATAAGAAAGCTATCAGTGTCAGATGGGTTTTCAAGGTGAAGCTTAAGCCAGATGGATCAATTGGCAAACACAAAGCGAGACTAGTGGCTAGAGGTTTTCTTCAGACACCTGGGCTACATTACTTTGAGGTGTTTGCGCCTGTAGCTAGACATGAAATAATCAGTCTGGTGATTGCTTTAGCTGCAAATAGAAATTGGTCGTTGATACATCTGGATGTGAAGTCTGCATTTCTGAATGGTTCGTTATAAGAAGAGGTATATTTGTCACAACCTCCTGGA